TGATAGGTTAAAATTATTTCGAAGTTATTCTATTTTAATTTCTAAGTGCATTTTAAAGATTGAGACATAACTCATTTCAATAAAAGATGAATTTAATTTCGTAATATTCAAATCCATGTCTTGTAATAGTAATTCATATGAAATAATCTAGAATGTCAAAAATACTTTGAAATTATTACACTAATATGTATATATGTCCTTCGATTACTGTGTTAATCGGATCAAATCAACATAGAAAACAAACAACGCATATATATAATGACACATGATAATACAATAGATATTTTAAAAGGCGTAATACAATTCTATGTTGTACAATATATTATTGATTTGAATATATTATGGTGTGTTTGTTTGAGGGATTTTGCAAAAAATTCACTATTCATCAAAATTTTCTTCTCAAAAACATCACATTAAACATCTATTTTTTATTTTTTATATTATTCTAAAAATCAATTTTACATTCAAAATATCACATCAACACCTATTTATATCACATCATACAACTATTCAAATTTAAAATTTTTACTGTTCAAATTCTAACTCAAAATTCAAACCTCCAAACACACCCTTAACATATTTATATTGCACAGAACATAAAACACATGTTTATATATATATATATATATATATTATACTCCCTACGTCCCAAAAGAGTTGTCTTATTTTTCCATTTTCGTCCGTCCCAGAACAATTGTCATGTTTCCTTATTTAATAATCATGGTCTCCACTTTATATTCATATTTTTCCAAACTACCCCTAATTATTATTATAATCTACTTTTTAAAATCCTTCAAAAAAATAAAGACATTTTAGTCTTTTACATTCTATTTTATACTCACTTTCAATTAAATACTATTATTCATTCCTTAATTCCCGTTCCAACTCCCAACAAGAAGCTTCTTGTGGGATAAAGGGAATATTATAATTCAACATATGTTATCTTATAACACAATATAAGCTAAAAACTGATCTTATTAAATCACTGTCATGCTGCTGACTAGACTGAATTAGCACATGATCTGCAATTATATATATATATTATATCATATAAAAATAATATATATATATATTTTTTATATTATTTTGTGAGAAATATAGTGTGTTTTAATTTAAAATTGTACCAACTAAATTTTGATTCGAAATATAATTTATTATTATTATTATTAGGTGTTAAAAATTGAATGGGGTCGATTTAGAGGCCATGACTTACGGAAGGGAATAATAACAAGCCGTCACTCTTCCACCAACCTCACACGCATTAATTTATTAAAAAATATTATTAATTTATTATATGAAGTATGTTTTATTTATTTAAATAACAAGATTATTACAATGATGAATGAACCCCTAAAATATATCAAACCCTATGCCCAAATATAAGAAAAATAACAAATTTAATTACTTCTTTCGTCTCTTAGATATTCATTTGCTTTTTACATGTAGTTTTAGAAATATTAATATTATATTAGGACGTAGTAGGAATAAAGTAGAAATGACTAAAATAATCTTATTAGTATGTATGATATAAAAGTAATGGCATTTGTGTAATATATTGTAAGTTGTAAGGGTAATTGAAATGTTAGGTAGATAGTATAGTTACTAAAAAAGGAAATGAATACTCTGTTATGAGATATACTAAAATAGAAAAATGAATACTTTGTTATGGGACGAAGGGAATATTACTTTTATTATATGCTTATTTAATTACGTTTTAGTCTCCCATATTCAAATAATAATAATAATAATAGTATAATACTCCCTCCGTCCATAAACTAATGTCTTAATTTCATATTTGGAACGTCCAATAACTATTGTCCTATTTCCTTTTTTAAACACAAATTTTACATTTTTATTTTTCATTCATTTATTACTTTTAATTTCTATCATACAATTAATGACAAATTTGTTAATTCATAAAAAAAAAAAAACAATCACCTAAAAAACCGTACAAATATACTTTAGAACAATAAAAATGGAACGAAAAGAGTATATATATATATGCACAGATCAAAATTAAAAATTTTCCATATACGACTATATTATATGGATTTTGGGGGAAATGCCTCAAATTTAATATCTTAATTATTGTTATAAATTGTAACGCATGACCATTAATTAAGTGTTGATTAAATGATATAAAAAATGATGAATTTTAATTATATTACAAAGTAATTAAAAAAAAGATTAATTTAATAAATAAATATCTTCATTAGGTTCAAAAAAGAATTAGTCTTAATTATTTGTACTAACAAATTAAAAGAATTATATATCACACGTCGTAACGTGATTCAATGTCTTAATTATTTCTAATTTATTTAGATCTATTTATCTCTATACACGTAATTTGGGTCCCATTTCATGTCATGATTTATACAATAATATATATATAAATAAGTAAATAAATAAATATTTATGTGTATCTATCTATAAATATATATGATATGTGACACCTAATTATTGCCATGAAATCATACATAGTATTGACAACTATTAATTAATTATTTTGTCTCCAATTATATTATATTTTTATCTACTCGTAACTATATACTATTCCCTCTGTTCCAGATACCGTGTCTGTTATACCGTAGACACGGTATTTTAGGAGGGGTGTAATTAGTAGATAATTAATAATGTATTAGTGAAAATAATTATTCTATAATATAAATAATTATAAATTAAGATTAAGATAACTAATTAGTTTAATTAAAATTAAAAAAAATTTAAAATTTAAAATGAGATTAAAGTGCGTAATTATTTTCCAAAAAATGAAAGTGACATGGTACGTGGGACGGACAGAAACGATAACGTGAACATGGTATCTGGGACGAAGGGAGTATTACTCATGGATTAACTTTATGTATTCCATTGCAAAAATAATTATTACAATGACACAAAAATATCTACGTATAATTCTTCAAACCCTAACCCTCCATTATTAATTTAATTTAATTTAATGTATTTTTATTTTTATTATTATTTTATTATTAATTTATTCACACTCGATCATTTCAGAATTTCAGTGCCTCCTAATTTAATTTAATTTAATTTTTTTATTTTTCCTAAATTCCAACTTACGAAATTAAAATTAAATGATCTGGCTGCACCTGGTTGGGTATAGATTTCAGAAACTATTAAAAATTACATTATTTAAGGGCTCCACAAAATTTTAATTTCACCTGTCTAAATTATTAGTTAAGTATATAATCATGCTTAAATAATAATATTTATTTATATTAATTTCCATTGATCTATTATAATTCTAAATCAGAATGTCATATTGTTGAAAAAAAAAATGTAGAAATTCTCTTGACTTTACTTAATATTAATGGGTTTTAGATTGAAAATCCGAATATAATTTTGGTAAATCTATATATACATATATATTTTGGTATGAATAAATCATTTATTTTTTATAAAAAAATTTAAATGATAGTATAGTGAAAAAATCAAAATAAGAAGAGTCTAAATATTGATAAAAAAAAAAGAGTTTAATAATTCAAAATGAATCGATCGAAGTGAAAGAACAAGTTAAAATGTTTATAATCGATCACATGATTGTAGCATCGAAAGGCCGAATTCGATCATTCCAAAATTATTAAAGAGACACAATCAAATGACAAAAAATAGGTCTTGTCTTTGTATAAAAGAGGGCATTCATTAACTAACTTATCTAAGGCTTGGACCTAACTCAATTACCAAAAACCATGTATTTAATTATCTATTATTTATTTTGCACACCACATATAAAGTAACAACTCTATTATTATTATTATTATTATTATTATTATTATTATTATTATTATTATTATTATTATTATTATTATTATTATTATTATAAGCTACTTTATCATTAAAACTTAAAAATTAATTCTTCAATCTAATCTATTTAATTTGATTATTCCTAATTAAGAACCCCACCTTATATTATTATTCATTCAATTAAATGGACATGACCATAGAAATTAAATAGCTAGGTCACTTACTTATATATATATATATATATACATCTACACACACACACATTGGATATGCAAATTTTATTTAATCTTAACTAACAACATGGTTGATTGCATTAGATGAAATAAATTAATTTAATGCTTGTCTCCCTTATTTTGGATTTGTTTGTTTGTATTTATTAACACCAACCCCTTCAAAAAGTTCACAGGATCACAACTTACATTTACATCAAAATCTCTCTCTCTCTCTCTCTCTCTCTCTCTCTCTCTCTCTCTCTCTCTCTCTCTCTCTCTCTCTCTCTCTCTCTCTCTCTCTCTCTCTCTCTCTCTCTCTCTCTCTCTCTCTCTCACACACACACACACACACACACACAAACACACACACAAAAGAAAATTTTCTTTAATTTTTTATGGGTATATTTAGTTAGAGTTTTTTTCTTTCTATCTTTTTTTTTTGGAAGATTTACATATTTTATTTTATGAAAAAAAAATATTTTTATAACATTATTTGATATATTATTGCCCTTAAAATGATTAGATTGAAATAAAAATAAAAATAAAATAAAAAAAAAACTCATTTTTTAATAAAAAGTAAAAAATATGGCTTGAATATCCCTTGCCATATATATGTGTGTGTAAAGTTAAAAGTAGGATTTTGGAGGGTTTATCTCAGGATGTTGATGCCTAATTTATAACTTTACCAAGATTTCTTCAAACTTCCCACAACACACATATAAAACATATATATATATATATTATATTTAAATTCATAAGCATAATGGTAACTAACCACTCACGAATAAGCTACTATAATAATAATAATAATAATAATAATAATAATAATAATAATAATAATAATGTAAAAATAAATCCATCCACCATGCCCCCCCCCCAAGGTACCTATCATCAATCATCATACCTCTCTCTCTCTACATATAGATATATACATACACATGTATATCTATATATATGCATGGATTAGCACCCATCTCCTCTACAAAAATAATAATAATAAAAATATATATATAAATATATAAAAAAAAGAAAAAAAAAAAAAAAAAAGAGACTTTAAGGAGGAGATAGAGATAGATATTGTCAGAAGACAATAATCTTGCCAGAAGCTTCTTTGAAATCCAATCTAAACAAGATTCTCTCTACTTTATTTAATTTCTCCTCGTTTCGTTTTAATTTCAATTTTCTCCTATATACCTTCTATACATATATATATGTGTATGTATATCTAGAGAGAGAGAGAGTAGAGAAATTATTATTTAATGAAAATGGGGTTGAGAGAGGTTGGGAAGAAACTGCCAGCAGGATTCAGATTCTATCCAAACGATGAAGAATTGGTGTGCCATTATCTTTCCAACAAAATTATTACTGCCAATGATCATCATCGACATCTCCGAAGAGGTTCCCTCACCCTCGTTGACATCGACCTCCATCTCTGTGAGCCATGGCAGCTCCCTGGTATATATATATATATATATCCATATAATTAAATAATTCCATCCTGCATGTAATTTCTTTAAATTAGGGTTTTCTTATTTATTTTTAAGAAAATTATTTGGTGGTTTAATTATTTAATTTGATAATTTTATGTAGGGAAGTGATGAAAGACAGAAAAAGGGATTTTTTTTATTTTTTATTTTTTGGTTTCATCTTTTCAAATGGATTAATGAATTAATTGAAGCCATGGATTTCTTTAATTTCTATATTTGTTGTGTCTTTTCCACAGATCATTTAACCTAATTGTTAATTTCCTGCTTCATTAATTTAATTTAATTGTTTATAGTACACAAAATTTATTAGTAATCATCCAGACACAGGGGCTACCTCACCCCTTTAATTTATTTATTAATTTTTCTGGAAAAAAAAAAAGTAAGAAAATCAGGGTTTTTTTTTTTTTTTTTTTCAGAAGAAAATTCCCTATTTAATGTAGCTTCTAAGGGGAAAAAAAGTTGTGGAAAACTAACAATAAAAACACAGAGAAGAAAGTCTTGTGTTGTCCAATATCAAGAGAATATGTTATTATTATTATTATTATTATTATTATTATTATTATTAGGTGATAAGGCAATTATATAAGTGTGACAAGACTTCCCAACATAAATTCCATTAGTTCACATGAATTTATCATCATCGTATAGGTACATATTGATATATATATATATATATATACATACTTTTAGTTTATAAGAATCTTTGGTGACTCATAACCAACATTTTTGTCAATTTCCCAAAAATTGCTCAATTAATACATATGTATTAATAATTGTAATCAAGATCTATTTCTTTACTATATTTTAATTGTAGTATGTACAGTGTATTTTTTTTTAGATGAAATGATCGTTTAATTCTATTCACAAATATATATATATCCACACAATTTTGTAGATGTGGCAAAAATGAACTCAAACGAGTGGTACTTCTTCAGTTTTCGCGATAGAAAATACGCGACGGGGTTTAGAACAAATAGAGCGACAACATCCGGCTATTGGAAGGCCACCGGAAAAGATCGACCGGTGGTGGACCCGAAGACTCGCGCTGTCGTGGGAATGAGAAAGACTTTGGTATTCTACAAGAATAGGGCTCCTAATGGCGTCAAGACGGGTTGGATCATGCACGAGTTTCGCCTCGAAAACCCTCATCTCCCGCCTAGGGTTTGTTCGCTACTACGATCATTTCTCTTTCTGTCTTTCTTTCTCTCTCTCTCTCTCTCTATATATATATATATGAGAAGGGATCCTCATCACAAAAACCCTAATTTTCAACCCTTTGCCCCTACACTCAATAGCTATACATGCATTTTTTCAATATGTCACTACAAAAAAAATATTGTTTTCATCGCCTAATTGTGTGTTCATTTGACCGGACATGAATTTTAAGAAAATTAGATAAAAGTATAAGTTTTTAATTTTTAGGATAAAGAAAAATTAGGAAAAGTGGTATTTTTCTATTAAAAAGAAAACGAGAATAAATTTAGATGACAATCAGAAAATGAAAGTGTGAATAAATGAAAGCGATACTTTGAAATGGGACAGATGAAAATGATGAAAAGAGTACTTTGAATTGGGACGGAGGAAATATTTTTTGGATCCCTACCATTTATATATCATTCTAAAAAATTTGGATCGTCAATGCAGGAAGATTGGGTACTTTGCCGAGTGTTCTACAAGTCAAGATCAGGTGTTGGCGAAAATGGCGAAACATCGATGATCAACATCAACCCTCGAGATGATGATGATATGTTAAACCCTAATTGCCCTAATTTGGGGGTTCCTTATTCTTCCCAAAACAATAATCCACTTTCCGGCACTTCATTCTCCAATGCCCTAATATTCGATCAATATCCGGGTGCAAACCCTAACCCTAATCCTAGTGCATCATCGACGGGGTTATGGCCCAAATATCTTCATGAATCTCATGCCAAAATCGAATCTACGGAGACTAAGTGTGAATACGACGACTATGGATTGTTCATGCTTGACTTCGATGGATCCACCATTCAAGATGTCATGGGATTTGGCGATGATCGCAGCTCGGTCCTCGTATAATCGCCAATAAATGTCGAAAATCTTCATTATGATATATATGTGTGTGTGAATATATAATATAATATATATATTTGTGTGTATGTATGTATGTAGCAATTTGTGAGAATTATATTAGGGCTTAGAGTGCATGAGTGTGGTCTTTTTCTTTTTGTTGTTGGATTGAAGAATTGCTTGCTTTGTAGTTAAATCAAATTGTTGGATTTGGGATTGCATTGTAGGGTTTTACATATATGTATATATATATATATATTTATATATTCATAATACATGTTTCTTATGGTTTATATTTATTCATCATCTAATACTTTATTAACTTTAATTAATATGTCTCTGTAGTTGATTTTATGGGAACAGTTAAGTTAGCCCTAATTAATACATATAAAAAATGTAGATTCATATCCTCCCATATCTATATATCCATTTGTTTTTTGCAGGTAAAAAAAAGGGGTATTTGTAATGTTAGGTAAATAGTGTCGGGATTGGGTCAACTCAAATCCTTCCAATGTGAGACTTGAGTTTGCACCTCAACAATCCTCCCTTCCTCCCTTCAAACCAAGGACCAACCAATGGACTGACCACCTCAATCGGCATCCGCAGGTCACGAGGGCGAACCCACCACCACAACCAATGTCCACTTCACCATCTAACTTGTCCGCTTTGGGCTGAACCCGCACGGATTTATTTTTGAATATTCTCCAAAAGGCTTCATACTAGTGGAGTTCACTTGGGACTTATAAGGTGTATAATTTTTTCACAACTTCCAATGTGGGACTTGGGTTTGCACCCCAACATATAGTACAATTACTAAAAAATAAAATGAATACTTTGTAATTAGACGGACCAAAATAAAATGGATAAATTGTTAAGGGACGGATGGAATATTATATATGTATTTGTGTTAACATACATCTTAAATATTTCGAATTAGATATATTGAACATTAAAAAGAAATATTGAATCCAGGTGTAAATTAAAGCTCTGTATACTGCCTAAAACTAATGAGTTTGTTTGGTTAATTTTTGTTTTAATAGTATTTTAATGTGATATTTAGCTCAATAATATAATTTTAGATTTGAAACTCAAATCAAACACACCCAAAAATAAAAAGAAAATGAAATATGTTATGGTGTATTTGATAACGAGAATAAAATTGCATAAATATAATAGCAGATAATATAATTTTTTTTAAAAAAAAATTAAGTAAAGAATGAGAATCCATTATTCTATTTGGTGAAACAAATAATCCAGTTGAGTGTAAATATATATATATTCAATTGAAAAATAAAAAATGAGATAAAGAATCGATTTAGGAAAAAATAAATGAATCAATTAAGAGAAAATTTCAGGAAAACGAGAATTCATATATAAAAAATTATTATTGTTACTGAATTTTTATTTAAATAATAATTTAGATATAAGTTTTATAAAATCAGGATAATATATATTTTTTAAATTACTAAAATTAAATAGTAAGAAAAATAAACAACTCGTTCTCAAATTTCATTTATCTTAAATTATATTACAGAAAAATAAAAATAAAGAATAAGAAAAAGTTTATTTTTTTTTTAAATTTCAATTTTCTAGCTCAAATAAATAAAAAATTGAAATATTTTTATTTTTCTATTCTCATTTTATTTGTACCAAAGAGACCTTAATTGCTTACATGTTGGAAGACCAAAACTTCTTGCTGAATTACATTATATGTTGGGCTGTAACAGGCGAAAGGCCCAATTAGCCTTATTGGATATGGCCCAATTGTTTGTGCAATTTCAAAATTTTATTTACTTTTATTTTCAATATTATTTTCTTATCACTTATCAAAATTCATATATAGAAAAATATATTACATATAATTTCTAATTTAAATATTATATAATTTTTGTTTTTTATTTAAAATATTACATTTAACAGCTGCTTATATCCTTTCATTGTTAAAAAATAATTTTCCTTCCATTAGAATAATCTACTTACTTTTGTCATTTTTAATTGGTTGGTCAGAAATCAATTTATCCATTGTTTTTTACTAATTGTACTTTCACATAACATAAAATAAAATAAAATAAAATAAACTTAAAATTTACATATTATTACAAAATAATACTTCATCCGTTCCATAAGTATCCATTTGCTTTTTGAACGAGGTTTTAAAAATATTAGTATTATATTGGAACATAGTAAAAATAAAATAGAAATGACTAAAATAACCTTATTAGTATTATGTTGATATAAATGTAATGACATTTGTGTAATATACTGTAAGTTGTAAGGATATTTGTAATGTTAGGTAGATAGTACAATTACTTAAAAAAAATAAATAAATAGATACTTTGTATTATTTATAAGATTAAAATTGAAAAATAGATATTTTGTTATGGAACGAAAAAAATGTCATTATTATTTCAACTTATTTGTCTTTTTATAAAGGAACATTTGACTATTTATAGTCTTTTTCTTTTAATATATATATATATATATATAATATTAATATTAAAAATTTATGTGTAAAATTAGATAGAAGAGTATATATTTTAGTAGTGAAAGAAGTGTGTAAGAAAATTCTAACAATTTGTCATTTATAATTTATATTTTTTTCTATATATTACGTTATAATTTATACTTTGTGTTCCAATGGAAAATATCCTTTGATTTTTATTATTATTATTTTTTTTTTGTGCTGATTAAAAATATATATAAAATAAATTTTAATATTTTTTAAAAAAATAAATAAAATTAATATTTGTATAAAATTTAAAATATATTTAAGTATTTATATATAATTTATATAAATTACTTTTATTATAATAAAAAATAAATATTATTTTTAATGTAAAAAACAATAATAATAATAATTTTACTATATTACCATTTAAATATGTGGAATTTCCTTGTTTGTTTGGGTGTGGTTGATTTGGATTTTTTAGAAATTATTAATACTCACATTATACTATTTTAAATAAAAATATATTAATATTACTTCAGAATACTTTAAAAAAATGGCGGTATTATCACATCAAAATCAAACAAATTAATATTATTATTATTATTGAAGTTCGTTCTAAAACAAAATAAATAAATAAATATTGAAGAACCACCCCTTATACTGCATTAATTATTTTTATTACTTGCTCTGTTTAATTTCTATTGTTCTAAAGTATATTTGCACGATTTTTTAGGTGATTGTCTTTTTGTTATGAATTGACAAATTTACCCTTAATTATATGGTAGAGATTAAAAATAATAAATGAATAGAGTGTAAAAATGTAAAATTTGTGTTTAAAAAAGGAAATATGACAATAATTGTTGGACTTACCAAATAAGAAAGTAGGACATTAATTTGTGGATAGAGGGAGTAATATATTGTTGCTATTTTTATTTAATCTGAAAATATTAGTATTTTAATTTAAAATATCATACTACCTTCATCCATCACTAATCTATCCATTTGTATTTGGCCGTCATTGTTTTTAACATTAAAAATATCTTTATATTTGTATAATTTTTTGTACAAATTTTATTTCATTAGTATTATAAAACACCAATAAAAGTATTTTTGTCATTTTTTCTTAATTTTTTACTATATTTTGATATAATAATTAATATTTAAAAATTAACATGCAAAAAGTAAATTGATAGATTGATAGTGAAAGGAGATAGTAATAAATATTTTCTATTAAAAAATATATATATAGATATTTGAACACGACAAACGCTATATCTTAATAAAATATAATCTTTTCGTTCCACATAAAACTCAGACCTTATACCTTAATAAAATATAATTTTTTTATTTCACATAAAAAAATAAAATAAAATCAATTCATGTAAAAATCAATTCGTTTGAATTGATTTTTTGTATTTGGTATGAAAAATTATGTTTGTAATTTAAAAATAATATTTTGTGTTCAATAATTAACTTTTTATGAGTAAATAATGCATATATTATATATTAATGTGTGTATATTTATATTTTTTTAATAATATTTATAAAAAATTATTCCATTAAAAAAGTTGAATGAATATATTAAATTTATCCAACAACAGTTGATATCATTATCATTTACTTAACTTAATTATAATAGTTATAATATTATTTTATTATTTTTTATATAAGTTATATTGTTATCTTCCTTAAAATAAAATTAATATATATAATTAAAAAATTAAAATAAATATTTAAATATAATAAATATTATATTTTAATAAAATATAATTTATCCGTCTCACATAAAAATTAATTTTTCAAAACAAATATATAATTACCGAAAATAAATATATCCTTTTATATATAATTAATTAAATTGTCATATTATTTCAAATTTTAAAAAATTAGTCCTTTCAGTCAAAATTTTATTTCCACCACTGACAGCCAAGGGCCCAAAATTTTTAAGGTTTTAAGGATGTAAATATACAATTCATCTAATTTTTATATATCAAATCAGACATCTATTTTTTATTTTTTATATTATATTAAAAATCAATTTTACATTCAAACATCACATCAATCTATTTATATCGCATCATACAACGGTTCAAATTCAAAAATTTTACTATTCAAATTCAAACTCAAAATCCAAAATCCTAACAAACACACTATAAGGGGCCGTTTTTATATATACAAAAAAAAATGTATTATATATATAAATATATGTATAATATTAAAATATTTATATTAAAAATTGTTTGATTATTTTTAAATTTAATTTTTTTATATAAATTTTTACATTTAAATATATTTAGATATATTTTTTTATTAAAATATTAATATATTTTTATTTGTAATAGAATTAAACAAAATAAAAAATAATTATTATTTTTATATTATTAATATATATATATATAATCAAGTATTTTATTTTATTTTGTCCGAGACCTGTAAAAACTAAGGAACAATCCTGCATAAGGAGTATATTATCCATTTCCAAGTGCAAAATAATTATATTTATTTCTAATTTGTCTTTCTAGAGTAAACAATTATTGAAATTGGATAATTCTTTCTTTAAAATTTTAATTCAATTTCAAATCAAACAAAATTAGGAATGACGAAAGTTCAAAACTGATTTTGCAGGCTTCGGGACCCGACTTACTAGAAAATATTAGACTTTAGGATTCATCTTCATCCTAAATCCTCCGAATTCGGGACCAACTTGACAAACTCATATTTTTTAAAAGGAAAAATAAAATATAATTTATTTTAACAATTTAATATTAAAAAAAT